AGAATATCAACCAAAAATCCAGAAAAAACACATGATACAAATGTTATAAATTGAGTTGCGGTTCAGTGGGTAAAATACGTATTTGATCCCCTACCAAACAAGAATAATTCTGGCTCCCACAGACTGGCTATGTGCTCATGTGGTACACAGGTTAGTCCTGTCAATTTAAGAAGATGCTCCTAACAACAACTCGTTATGTGTATAAAAGACACCTGTCCACAGAATCTCATTCTTCCTCACCACCATGGGCAAGACCAAAGAGCTATCAAAGGACGTCAGGAACAAGACTATAGACCTGCACCAGGCTGCAATGGGCTAAAAGACTATCAGCAAGAAGCTTGGTTAGAAGGAGACAATTGGTGGAGCAAGTATTCGCAAAAAAAAATACAAAATAATCATCAATCACCCTTGGTCTGGAGCTCCATGCAACTTTTTGCCTCAAGGGGTAAGGATGATCATGAGAAAAGTGAGGGTGAGGAATCAGCCCAGAACTACACGGGAGGAGCTTGTGAATGATCTCAAGGCAGTTGGGACCACAGTCACCAAACAAACCACTAGTAACAGAATTTGCGCATGGATTGAAATCCTACAGCGCCCGCAAGGTCCCCCTCCTCAAGATGACACATGTACAGTCCCGTCTGAAGTTTGCCAGTAAACATCTAAATGATTCACAAAAGGATTGAGAGAAAGTGCTGTGGTCAGATGAGACCAAAGTTGAGTTCTTTGGTATTAACTTGACTCGCCGTGTTTTGGAGGAAGAAAAATGCTGACTATGACCCTAATAACACCATCCCTACAGTCAAGCATGGAGGTGGAAACATTATGCATTTGGGCTGTTTCTCTGCTAAAGGTAGAGGCCGACTTTGCCACTTAGAGGGGCCAATGGACGGGGCCATGTTTTGTAAAACCTTGGATGAGAAATTCTTCCCTCAGCCAGAACAGTGAAGATGGGTCGTGAATGGGTCTTCCAGCATGACAATGACCCAAAACATACCGCCAAGGCAACAAAGGAGTGGCTTAAAAAAAGAACATTAAGGCCATGGAGTGGCCTAGCCAGTCTCCAGACCTTAATCGTATAGAAAATTTATGGAGCTGAAACTTCGAGTTGCCAAGTGACAGCCAAGAAACTTTAAGGATTTAGAGAAGATCTGTAAAAGAGTGGACCAAAAGCCCTCCTGAGATGTGTGCAAACCTGGTGACCAACTACAAGAAACATATTACCTCTGTGCTTGCCAACAAGGGTTTCTCCACCAAGTACTAAGTCATTTTTTGCTTAGGGATCAAATACCTATTTTACTCACTGAACTGCAACTCAATTTATAACATTTGTATCATGTGTTTTTTCTGGATTTTTGGTTGATATTTTGTCTCTATCATTTAAAATAAACCTATGATAAAAATTATCAACCCTTCATTTGTTTGTAAGTGTAAAATCTGCAGGGGATCAAATAATTATTTTCCCCACTGTATGTGATAATAAATGGCTTCATATAATCATTATCCTTAACCATTTCAATACCGTGCAATTTTACACCTTCCTGCCCAGGCCATTTTTCAGGTTTCAGCGCTCTCACACTTTGAATGACAATTGCGCGGTCATACAACATTGTACCCAAACTAAAATTTGATCATTTTCTTCACACAACTAGAGCTTTCTTTTGGTGGTATGTAATCACCGCTGGGGTTTTTATTTTTTGCTAAATTAACAAAAAAAGGCCAAAAATTTAAAAAAAAAAACACGTTTTTCTTTGTTTCTGTTATAAAAGTTTACAAATAAATAATTGTTCTTCATAAATTAGGCCGAGATGTATTCTGCTACATGTCTTTGGTGAAAATAACCCAAATTAGGATGTATTATTTAGTTTGTAGGAAAGTTACAGAGTTCACAAACTATGGTATAGATCTGAATAATTGATCAATCCTGAAGTACTGACAGCCAATCTAATTTCTTGAGGTCCAAGAATGTCAGAACAGTACAGATATCCCCCAAATGACCCCTTTTTGCAGAGTAGACAGTCCGACGTACTTCATAAGAGGAATGGCGAGTTTTTTGAAGTTGTATTTTTTTTGTCATAATTTTTCGGAAAATAAAAAAATTTAAAAAATTATTTTCACTATTTTTTTTTTTTACATACTGTCACCAGTGCAGTACAGCGTCATCATATAACTGGCATGGCGGTGAACAGGGACACTGACTGGTGACAGTATGAAAAAAATATATATATATATTTTTTTTTTTTTTTTATTATTTTTAATTTTTATTACATTTTTTTTATTTTTTTTAAGATTTTTTTTTCATATTGTACTATGACCAAAGTAGTACAATGTTACCATAGTAACATTGTACTACTTTGGGGAAGTGATCAGTATTTTTTTTTTTTTTTATTTTGCTTATAGAATTACTTTGCTATAAGCAAGCATTTACCTGAATGAAATCGATTCATTCAGGGTTTTTTTTTTTTGTGCTTAGCTGTGATTTGGTCACAGCTAATCACATGACATGTGCATGTGATTAGCTGTGACCATTCACAGCTAGGCAGTAGTATACAATGGATGGCATGAATGAAGCCATCCATTGTATACAACTGTCATGTGACCTGCTGTGATTGGTCACAGCAGGTCACATGGTACCAGCAACGGGGGCCGGTACTCAGATCTGTCATCGGCTGTGTCCGAGGTACACGGCCGGTGACAGATCGCGCTGCTGCGAGGCTCTGCATTAGCGCAAACTGCGCATGTGCGGGTGCACGCCAAATGGCGTGCACCCGGAATGCCGCAGCACTTCTGAAGCCGCCAAACGGCCATTGGCCGGGCGGCTAATGGTTAAATAAAAAAGTTTTTTGGCATGATCAGTCATATTTTCAATATAAATGCCAAAATGTCACAATTTATGCCAGGGTAAACTCATATACAGATAAATTAATTCACATACATACATGAGCTCACATACATACATACATACATACACAAAACTCACATACTTACATAGACACATAGCCTTTTTGTTAAATGCACACTGTACCTGCACTTGCACTGCCAGGTGAACAGTTGGTTTTGTATTGCTGCATTGTAGGGGAAGGTGGAACAGGTCAGGGCTCAGAAGGACACCTTCCACTGTTTTGCACAGTGGGAGCTTGATCAAAGGAACACTAAAGTACAGGTGTGCAGTTCTGTGATTAGCACAGCAGGAGCTTTATCTACAGCCTCTTTCAACCAGGATGCCACAGCACCCCTGACAACCTCAGACAGGAGCTCAGGGTGCTGCGGCACCCTGGTTGAGAAAGGCTGATTGCAACAGAGTTGTAAGAAAGAGAACAAGATCCTCTATGCACAAGTGCTGTTGGATATGATAGCAAGAGGAGTGACATGATTTACTTTTTGGCACTTACCCTATTATTCTTTTTTCTGTTAGAGAGGTTATTAGCATACATCTCTCAAAAAATTTTGCCTCTCTTTCTCTGACTGTTCTTCCAAAAAAACTAAGACAAAATAAATGAAATAACTGAACTGTTCCTTCTTGCTAGCACTTGAGTGCTTTGAATTACACTGACAAACTGTACCATTTAACACCAGGTATTGCTAAATGGAAAATTGTGCTCTGTCTTGCCAGGAGCAAGGTGACTCACGTAAAAACAAACATCAGTAATACATAATTGTCATGTAGACTCCCTGTGTTTATTTTTACTGGGGAGCATGACTAACAACAATCAGACTAGTTTGAAGACTTTCATGTTGTGTAATTCGTAATTCTCAAAAATTCGGAAACATCGTAATTCCTTTTGGATATTAATCACAGTAGCAGTCAGGCAAAGAAGAAAAATCAAAGTGCAGTGACCCGATAGCAATCTGAATTCATCTTTTAGTCAGCCAAATTTACTAATCAGAAATCTGATTGGTTGCTATGGTTAATTGTACTTTGCACGTCAGCTTTGCACTTTGCAGAACCTATTGGATAAGCACATAATAAACAATTAGGCTCATTTACAAATGCATGCAATGTGGCTCCTGCTGTGCAAATTACATCTGTGTTTGTGTTTCTATAATGTACATGCAGATTCCAAATAAGGTGGTTGCCGCACATTTTTTATTCATCATTTGAAATATTTTTGAACATTGAAATGCTGTGAATCTTTCCGACATGTATAAAACTGATGTTGGAAATCTTAATAAAGCGAAATGTGAAGCATGTTGTGCTATGTTATCATTTTTGGAATCACTGTGGTGCTGGTATCTAAAGCATGCTTGTCAGATTTATATTGTAGCAGAACTATAAAACGTATTCACTTAAGTCTATTGTAAGGAAACACTCTATAAGCCAGCATGGCAATAAAATAGCAGGCACCATACATTTATTAGAGTTATCAACTTGAATTCAGTGCATTTTCAGTATGCTAAAGAAAACAATCAGAATTTTAGGTGTATTGAGACTGATCTTTTTATTAAAAGAACTGTGCTTATATGTTCTATGTATGTCCATAGATGATGTGCAGAAGCACCTGCTGCTATGGAGAAAATAGTCATAAATTGCAAACTCAGTTTATTAGTTGTTTCCTAAGAACTATATTCATGTATTCTAGTATTTATAAGAATGGCGATTGTTCCTAGTTTGGCAGAGAACAAGCAGATCACATTGTGGTCATTTTAATGGTTACCTAGTGACTTTCTGTTGGAACATTATGCCAAGGCCCATAAATTCAAGCCCAGCTTATCAGCTGTTCCCAAAGAACCAGCAGCTGTAGGTGTCTTCTGGTGTTAGTTGGCAAAAATCAGCTAGATCTGGTGACCATCATCTTACCTTTAAGGATATTTGTAAACTGTACTAGAATTTCATGCCAAGAGCAGGATTTGAAATGATTGAAAACATGGTTACCCCAAATGTCTGAATTTGATGTTTTGTTTTAATGGTTATGTTGGTAAATGAATAAAAGTAATTAATCAGTTAATATTGGCTTACTTCTGTTTAACTACTTCAAATTTTCTATCCCTTCCACGTGCCACAGAGAAGGAAGCAATTTAACCCCAGCTCATCATTATCCTGACTTCAGATTTAAGACGTATGCTCCATTAGCATTCCGGTACTTCAGAGAGCTTTTTGGTATAAAACCTGATGATTACTTGGTAAGGATAATATCTGATTTTCTAAGTTTTTTGAAAAGGTTTTCTTAGACAATCGCTGTAATAATTCTGTACTATAAGAATAAAACTAATCTTTGGGGAAAACTACCAAAGTAAAAGAAAAAATTAGCAAAGATGGTTTGGATGCTGCAGTTTTAATACTCTTATTTACATTATTATTTAGATATATTACAAGCTTTTTAAGGGAAATGTAGTTGCATTTGATCAGTGTTATTTTTTTCCTTTTCACAATTTTATAAACTGATACTGTGAGTAGTATTAAACCCTCAGCGTTTTATAGCTTAACAAATTGAGTGCACTAAAATAAATATTCCCTGGTAAAAAGCAACTAAAAATTATCCCTTGCAGTGGGACTGTGCCTACACTGCTAGGGTTAATTATTGGCTTTGGTTTAGGGGAAAAAGAAGATTTATATACCTTTTCCTCTGTGTCCCCCCCCCCCCTTTCCCCCACAGCTAGACCAGTCCCTGCAGTTTCTTCTCCCCCCAGGCTCCAATTGTCTAGGGTTCTGATGTTATCAAGACCAAAGCAGAGTCCATAGTCCTGCTCTGGACATAATGACGATGAGGGACAGTCCACTGAAGGAGGGGGCGAGGATCAAGTAAGTAAAACTGTTTCTCCTCTCCCCTAGACAAAACAATGTATTAATCCTTGCAGTGGGGGTTTCACGATAATTTTTTTGTTGCCCTGAGTACCCTGCTAGGTACGTACGGCATACGGACCTACAGCACTGCTCCCAACTGGCCAGGTTTGTACACTGTACGGACCTACATTCCTCCTCTGCTATAAGCTCATGGTCATTTCAGTGACCATGAACTTATATCAGAATTGTTCAGCAGACTGTTGAACAAACCAATAACTCTGATTAGCGGCTAACATTGGCATACGCTTTAGTAAACCCCATTTGAACAAGGCCTTAGTAGGAATTTAGCAGGAATTTTGTAAGTTGTGTTGTGTTTATGTGTGCAAATAAGGATTTTAGTGTTTTTTATTGAAAATAGTGATTTGATAAACAATTGCGCAAATATTGTGGGGCCTTAAAAATCAGATGCACCTTCTTTGTATTCTACTCCTATCCTATGCTTTCAGAAAATTATGGTTTGGGGGGGTCTTTTATAAATTCTGCAAGTGCAAAATGAAAACCTCCAGATTTTTAGATAAATTTGGTTATTTACAGTTTTGCATTCGTTCAATTCTCACCATTTTGCAAAAAGGCAAAATTTAAAATTTACAAATATATGTTATTTATTAACTCAACACAGGCTAAGCTTTTATGTTTAGTAGGAATTTAGCAGGATTTTTTGCAAAATTGCTGTGTTTGTATCTGCTAATAATGATTTTAGCGTATTTTTTGTGAAAATATTGTTTTGATAAACATTTGTGCAAATATTTCAAGGCCTTAAAAATCAGTAGCACCTTCTTTTTATTCTACTGGTCATGTGCTTTCAGAAAATATATAGTTTGGGTGGTCTTTTACAAACTCAAAAAGCTGTAAGTGAAAAATTAAAACCTCCAGAGAAATTTGATTATTTACACTTTTACGTATGTTCAATTTTCACCATTTTGCAAAAAGACGCAATTTAAAATTTACAAATATATGTTATTTATTTAGAAACACTAAAATATAAACATGCTTGAGATCAATTATAAAATCTGCATTTTTTCTTTGCTTTGACATATTGTTCATGAGGTTACAAGAATTTCAGGTGTATTCGTTATGAGTTTCGTTCTGAAGAACAGATTCCTGTGAAGTATGTCCAGTTCAGTGATTGTTTCTGGGAAACATACAGCGCCTATTGACCTTTTCTTTGGCGGTCAAAATCATCTGATAAGGGACAGTGTGTTTGGTGTTGGTGAAGAATCTTTTTTCCCTCCAATGGTTCTCTGGACACACATTGGTTCTATGGTGTTTCCTTAACACTGGACTTTCTATATTATATATGTGGAGCTTTTTCTATCGTGTTATTTTAGATATATATTCTTAGTGCTGCATTTTTTATTTGTATGTTATTTATTAACGCAACACAGATAAAACCTTTATATTAAGCAGGAATTTTGTAAAATTGGCTGTGTTTGTATCTGCTAATAATAATGTTAGTGTATTTTTTACGAAAATATGGTTTTGATAAACATTGTTTTGTATCACAGGGCCCTAAAAATCAATGGCACCTTTTCTTTTATTCTACCAGTCATGTGCTTTCAGAAAATATATGGTTTGGGGGGTATTTTACAAACTCTGAAAGCTGTAATGGGAAAATAAACAAATTGCAAAAATGGTCCAGCCACCTGCATTTAAAAGTGGAGCACAGGACCTGGCAGCGAAAGGGTTAATAGCCCTTTGACATTTTATGTATATATATATATACAGTGGGGCAAAAAAGTATTTAGTAAGCCACCATTGTTGTGCAAGTTCTCCCACTTAAAAAGATGAGAGAGGCCTGTAATTGGCATCATAGGTAGACCTCAACTATGAGAGACAAAATGAGAAAAAAATCCAGACAATCACATTGGCTGATGTGGAAAGAATTTATTTGCAAATTATGGTGGAAAATAAGTATTTGGTCAATATGAAAAGTTCATCTCAATACTTTGTTATATATCCTTTGTTGGCAATGACAGAGGTCAAACGTTTCCTGTAAGTTTTCACAAGGTTGGCACACACTGTTGCTGGTATGTTGGCCCATTCCTCCATGCAGATCTCCTCTAGAGCAGTGATTTTTTGGGACTGTCGCTGGGCAACACGGACTTTCAACTCCCTCCAAAGGTTTTCTATGGGGTTGAGATCTGGAGACTGGCCAGGCCACTCAAGGACCTTGAAATGCTTCTTACGAAGCCACTCCATCGTTGCCTGGCGGTATGTTTGGGATCATTGTCATGTTGGAAGACCCAGCCACATTTCATCTTCAATGCCCTTGCTGATGGAAGAAGGTTTGCACTCAAAATCTCACGATACATGGCCCCATTCATTCTGTCCTGTACATGGATCAGTCGTCCTGGTCCTTTTGTGGAGAAACAGCCCCAAAGCATGATGTTGCCACCCCCATGCTTCACAGTAGGTATGGTGTTCTTTGGATGCAACTCAGCATTCTCTCTCCTCCAAACACGACGAGTTGTGTTTCTACCAAACAGTTCTATTTTGATTTCATCTGACCATATGACATTCTCCCAGTCCTCTTCTGGATCATCCAAATGCTCTCTAGCAAACTTCAGACGGGCCCGGACATGTACTGGCCTAAGCAGGGGGACACGTCTGGCACTGCAGGATCTGAGTCCCTGGCGGCGTAGTGTGTTACTGATGGTAGCCTTTGTTACGTTGGTCCCAGCTCTCTGCAGGTCATTCACTAGGTCCCCTCGTGTGGTCCTGGGATTTTTGCTCACCGTTCTTGTGATCATTTTGACCCCACGGGTTGAGATCTTGCGTGGAGCCCCAGATTGAGGGAGATTATCAGTGGTCTTGTATGTCTTCCATTTTCTAATTATTGCTCCCACAGTTGATTTGTTCACACCAAGCTGCTTGCCTATTGCAGATTCAGTCTTCCCAGCCTGGTGCAGGTCTACAATTTTGTTTCTGGTGTCCTTCGACAGCTCTTTGGTCTTCACCATAGTGGAGTTTGGAGTGTGACTGTTTGAGGTTGTGGACAGGTGTCTTTTAAACTGATAACAAGTTCAAACAGGTGCCATTGATACAGGTAATGAGTGCAGGACAGAGGAGCCTCTTAAAGAAGAAGGTACAGGTCTGTGAGAGCCAGAAATCTTGCTTGTTTGTAGGTGACCAAATACTTATTTTCCACCATAATTTGCAAATAAATTCTTTCCAAATCAGCCAATGTTATTGTCTGGATTTTTTTTCTCATTTTGTCTCTCATAGTTGAGGTCTACCTATGATGCCAATTACAGGCCTCTCTCATCTTTTTAAGTGGGAGAACTTGCACAATTGGTGGCTGACTAAATACTTTTTTGCCCCACTGTGTATATATATATATATATGAGTCCATTGGCAGTTTATTTTAGCCAACCTGCAGAAAACTCCTGAGTTGCATAAAGTTTGTACTGACTGTAGTACTGAATCTTGACAGATCAGTACTTAATTTTTGCTGCTCGAGAGAAGGAATCTTAGGCCTCATTCACAGGGAAAAAATGTTTCAGCTGCGACAGGAGTTCATTGAATAGCTGCAGCTGGATGTACAGGTGGATACAGACTGTTGTGGACGATAAGCCTGTATAAAGCAATGACAGGCTGACAGCAGCCACTGCTGTAGGACAATCATTGGATGTAATCACACTGACGCATTACCTGCAGTTAGGGACAGATGATTGCTTCAGGATGCAAGCTGTGCACCTGTCATTGCAAATGGTTGAGGAGTTCTTGCAGCACGTTTCTATTTGCCTAAATGGGTCGCATTTGGTGCGTAACAGCAGGGAAAAATTTAGCTGCGGATGTGAAGCGGCATGTGAACACCCCTGTTTGATGCTTTGCATCTTAAAGAAGGAGTGGTTGGGGGATGCTAAAAACATGGCTCAAATGGCTAAAATTATTTATAGAGTTATGCTCAAGGTAAATGATGCATACAGATGTCCAGACATCTAGACATATATTACCCTCTGTCACAGAGGGGTTAAGTAAGATGCAGAGCCCTGTGTAGTGTTTTGTGAATTTTGTTGGGACAAAATCAGCTTCAGGATTTCCACCGAATGTATTGAAATATATATAGATATAAATAGCAAACTGCTATGTACAGTTTTGCCCTTCACCAGATCAAGCGTTTTCCTTCATTCCTTTAATATCTTGACCAAGCTGCATTAAACTACTGCAATTCTTTTTTATCCAGATGGGTTAAAAGCTGCCAAAACATATTATGATCTCTGGCCTTAATATAATTGATATTTTTGTAACCAGTGATTGTAGTAATTATTTCATGGAAACATATAATTAGACCCAAATACCCATAAGAATTTTTTCTCATTAAATTTTAAATGAGAGCACTTGTGAGTTAATTGACACGTTTATGCATTTAATTTCCAGAAATTGTGGACATGTGCACCTTTTAACCTTGATAGTTCACATAGATAGACTCAGGGCTAATTCACATTTTTGATTCTCAACCACAGGAAACAGTGTGATTTCTGTCTGAGCTATAGTAGTCTGCATTGCATGCTTATGCTCTGCATTCATTAAAGTTGTATTTGTTGCCAGCGGCAGCCAGTTAGAAACCAGTTGTCACATTTGTGATGTTTTTTATAAAATTAAAGGCAACGTGTAAATGTTATAGAAAACACATGGACAAGATAAAATATCTTAATTTCCCCAAGATAAGGGTAGCACAAGGGATATCTTCACACCCAAATGCTGCAATCATGAATGTTTCTTAATCATTTTGTAGTCAAATCTCCTGATCACTTGTCTCTTCTTGCTCTTAGGATTTCATTACAGCGGTGATCAAGCTAACTCAAATATGCTAATGTGACAACAAAATATTTTTATTGTCTTTTTAAATAGTTCACTGTGTCAGTCTCAGCGAAAAAATTTGATTAAAAATAAAATAAAAAGAAATGAAAAAATGTCTATTTCCAGTGTTGATTGTTGTGAAGAACCTCCAGTATGTTTCAAGTTTTAATGAATCCACTTGTAGTGAAAACATAGGCATATAAATAGTATAATCAATTTTGGACAAGCCCCACTCTTTTATGTAACCAGTGACGATGAATTTTCCTTATCAAAACTGTAGCGGCCATCTTTGTTGAGCACAACTTGGAAGCAGAACTGTGGGAACTGCCTGGTCCCCACTCAGAAAATTGCTTCCTGCTATTACATCCTTATACAAGTGGATTCATTAAAACTTGAAACATACATGGAGGTTCTTCACAACAATCAACACTGCAATATTGTATTGAACATTTTAGTATGCCTGGACAGAATTTTTTTTAAAAAATTTATTTTTGTAAAAAAAATATTTTGTTGTCAATGGATTTATTGAAAGAGGGTAAAAAGATAGAGTTTATTTCATGTACCTTTTTGGTGTTTTTGCTTACTCTGTCAAATATATATGCTTCCTTGGTACGCAAGGGTTGTTTGGTTTCATTGAGCTATACCTATATATTTTCAACCCAGGTCTTTTTTTATGCTAGTGGCTTCTTCTTTTTATGTTCTGTTTAGGCACAATGGACACGTAAACAACTCTGCCACTAGTTAATTCATGAATATGGCAGTGACAATTTGTAAAAATCGCCAGCGGCAGGATTGCTAATAGACTGCCTGTTTTGTCCCAAGGAAAGAATTGCTTCCTTTGCAGCTGAAGCAGTGATATGTCCCTCCCATCCCATCACTAGCCCTTGAGATTCAACAGCTTTTGGGCCATCTTGCTGAGTGTGGCATCAGAAGAAGTGATTCCCTAAGAACAGACAGGCAACCTTTTAGCAATCCTGGCATTGATAATTAGTCACTAGTGGCAGAATCGGCTATGAGTCGTGAGCCAGTGTTCCAAAATGCAGCATGGGATACATGCATGTCAATATGTCTTATCTAAGAAAGGATCATTGCCTTAGAAAATCAGACATAGGTGTCTACTGTTCAACTGAACATTATTAAAAGGTGAAATTTGCCAAGCCACTGTATCATGGTTATAACAATTCTTGGAGGACATCTGTTTTTATCCATACTTGGATAGATGTTACAATTGTGCTAGAATCAATATCATATGACTGGCTTGCAATGGGGAAGATTTACTAAAACAAATGCACTCAGTCAGCTTTCTGTTTATCTTTACACTCTTCCAGCCAAGTACATAGACCCACCACTGAATTTGAGAAACTATGTCTCCTTTTTAGAGGTGTTCCTGCCACACTCTCTCCCCTGTGTATAAAGCTCTTTTACTTCATTCTCAAGGGACTTTGCCTGCCTTCACCAAAGTATGGTCTAGGGACCTTGGACAAGAGATCTCTCCTGAGGAATGGCAAACAGCCCTTACCTTTACTCATAAGACCTCCATGTCCTGCTTTGTCCAGGACAAAATGTGTAAATTAATCTCCATGTGGTATAGGGAACCTGTCTCTTTACACCGTATTTTCCTTGCGCCCCCAGACTGGTGTTGGCATTGTAACAGGAGCAGGAGGATGTATTTGTACATATGGTGGGAATGTGGTTTGATTTATTCTTTTTGGAGTAAAATTTTTCAGATATATAATGAGATCTACAATGAGTCTCTCACCCCCTCACCTAAAATCACTCTTATTGTCTATCTTACTGGGGTCTATCAGATCGCAGAAGGCTTGTCTATTATGATTTTTTCTCTCAGCTGCAAGGCAGCTCATATCTAGATTCTGGAAGTCCACTACCATTCACCCCCTGACCCAGTGGGTGGACATTGTGAAGGACAGTATGTTGATGGAGGAGATGCAGATGCAAGAGAATGACAATTGGGATAAATGTAAAACCTTATGGTACGTTTGGATGCATTACTCCATCTCGGATGTACTGGAATCCCTGCCCACTACCTAATCTCTAGGGTGACAATACACATACTGGAATGTCAGTTTCCAGCCAAATCCCTCTGCCGTTCAGTTTTTTTGGGGGAGCAATATTATGTCATGTCCATGCTCTTACACCCCATTGAGCCTGTCAGTATCATGTTGTCCTTTTAAGATGAGTTGCCTGGTATGGGGGTGGGGGAAGTTAGGCTGTTGTCAGAGCAATTTGTGGCAATTTTTGTGAGGTCAGTTGTTTTTGTACATGTTTTTTTTCTATGTGAAATCAATAAATAGAAATTGAAAAAAAAATCCCTCTGCCATAGTGGACAGGTCATCACACCTCTTTCTCAGTTTCGTTTTGGATTTAATGTTTTGTCTCGACTCTCCAATGTGAGGCCTATTTACCATACTCTTGTATTCATACAACATTTGATGTATCCAACTCCATTCCCTCTTCCCCTCCCCCTCCCCCTTTCCTCCTCTCTTTTCCTTTTCTCTGTTTCTTCTTAATATCCTTAGGATGTACCCAATTATTGGGTTCCTTGTAAAAGCCCCCCATATGTCATATATTAATTTTTTGTTATTGTGTACCCCCATATGGAGGACCATGGGGGCTCTCATACATTTCTACCTCTCAGGATGTATTTGGCTACTTTTGACAATAAATATTTCCTTACTTGTTTCTATACGTCTCCCTGTGATGTAGTACCTGTTGTTTTGATGAAAATGTTAATAAAAATACATTCAGCCTTAAAACTGATACACTCAGAATCTGGTGCAGTAGTGTATAGTAACCAGTAATCAGCTTCTAACTTCAGCTTGTTCAATTGAGTTTTGACAATAAAACCTGGAAGCTGATTGGTTACTATGCAGAACTGCATCAGATTCTGTGTGCATCAGCTTTAGTTAATCTCCCCCATTGAGTCTATGTATATTGCTGCACATAAATTGAAATGGATTTTACCAATATTTAGTTTAGTGTACCAGCTCCATCTTTGGACCTTCTCTCCGGCACTTCTCTTACTATTATTTTCAATGAACTGATAAATACTTTAAGTGTTTGTAGGTTTCTGTCTCTCTGATTTTTATTTTTGTTTTGTGTGTGTGTGTGTGCATTTGAATTTAGAACTTGAATCAAAACCCCCGGACCTTGCTGCCCAAATTTTATGGACTATATTGTCTTCAGTCTGGAGGCATAAATATTCGACTTGTTGTAATGAACAATGTACTGCCACGGTCCATGAAAATGCATTATAAATATGACCTCAAGGGTTCAACATATAAGCGAAGAGCATCTCGGAAAGAACGGGAGAAATCTTCCCCCACATACAAAGACCTGGATTTTATGCAAGATATGCCTGAAGGAATATATTTTGATCCTGAGACTTACAGTGCATTGATGAAAACACTACAGAGAGACTGTCGTGTGAGTAAAGTTCTGGCTTCCTTTGTTTGTTTATGGCTGTTTTCTGTAGTTTATCACACTACAGTCCAACAGTGTTTTGAGGAGACAATTTACAACACTTTTTTAGAAATTCATAAATTTATGACAGCTTCTAGTTCCTTAGTAAGAACTACAACAAATCATTATAATATATAAGTGCTTAAAAATATTTGGTTTGGTGAACAAACAGCAATATCTCCCTTATCTTTGTGAAAGGTGAAATGTAAAAGAAAGGGAAGAGACAAATGTTTATTTTTTTGTAGGTCCTTAAAATATTATAAAACCCTCATGGTGAAATGCAATATATAGCAACATAATTCAGGGCTTACCATGTTTGCCCTGTGCTTTCTTTTTGCAGGCTGTCATTGATTTGCATTCTGCCTTGGAATTTTCCCTCTGCTCCAGTTTTGTTTTGGGGGTCACTCTGCAGCTTTGCAGGGTCAACGTTGAGCCACCCACACGTGCGGTCCTCAGTGTCTTTGTGGGCACAGTTAAGCCTCTGATGCGTACATGTGCCTTGTTGTTTTTGCACTGAGGATAGTGGTGGTCATGTAACATTGCATGATATACCAGGGAGCGTGCACTTTATTCCAGGACATGGTTTGCATGTGCAGTTTACTCCTAGGGGAAGGGAATAAGCATTAAAGAAAATGTGGACAGGCCTGGGGGGGGGGGGGGGGGGGTGCACATGTACCATGATCACATGACTTCTGCGGTGTGTGCTACTTATACTAATATGTTTCTCCCCACTACTTGTTCAGGATGTTAAAGAGATACTATCACATTGCCCATGAAAGTGTAATTGTGCTTGGAAAGGCTATCCCCTAACCCCCTTTTATTTACTTTACCTTCCTTGAAGCCCCTCACTCCTCCACAGCTATAGGACGTCTGGGTATGGAAGAGCATATGACCTTGTCTCCTGGTTGTGGTGCCCAGGCCTTACAGCCAAGTACTGCCACTTGATCGAGGGAGTGATGTCACTGCTCCTCTAAGTTTCTGAAACAGCTAATCTAAGGCTAGCTGCAGATGAGCCATGAGTTGCAAGAGCACAGATAATGTAAGCAAATTTGTCAGGGGATACCATTTCCGGCAAATTTGAAAATGACAAAGAATGACATTCACAAAAATCACTAAAATCACATAGTAAAACATTACTGTACCAAATCATTTCACATACATTTTGTCCCTACTGCTTTGTCCTGTGCCCTGCCTGCATTTTTACTGTTCTTTCTACCTGGAAACTGAGAAATGTCCATGGCGTCCAAAAAGCGTCCCTTTAGGTCAAAAGCGGTTTTAGACCAGCTAGAGAACAGCGATAGTAAATTAGAACTACTTGCAGAATTGAGTGATGATTCGTAGGGAAATTCATCATCAGACATTGAAAACGATTTAGCGACTTTGCTCAGCGATGTGCGAACTTGGAGCTATATTTCAAATTTCATATTATATTATTATTATAATATTATTTTGTATAATTATTTATTAAATTATAATTTATGATTTCGTGTTTCAAGTTTTATTCTACCCGGGATGTTTACTAGACTCTTGTTCGGACAGATTTCAGTGAGTTATTCCTAAGAATTACAGGCCTACAATATAAAACGCCAAATTTACATGCAAAATAATGGTATTGCTTTCAGCACCAAAAATGTGAAATAATCATACCGCCAGGGAGGTTAAGGTGCTTCAGGAGGAGTTGTATATTCTCCCAGGTCTTCTTCTGGTTGGGTTTCGGGCTGACTTTTCTTGATAGGTTTGAGGAACATTGTAATGGGAAGTTGCTGTTGTTGTTTCTTCATGGTGGTGAGGACGGTTTTATATGTCTGAATGGCAGCATCAATGCCATTTGAGAGCCCAAACCATATAGGGATCCCATGCTTCAATCATCCCTTGCAACTCCGCTGTTTTCATTATCTAGGAAAGACGTTCCAATGTTAGGCCCTGCTCCTCCTCGTCTTGCTCTAGATCTGTCGCTTCCCTCTCCTCTTCACTAGCAGACTTAGTTAACTCCAACAAATCCTCATCTGTCAGGGGTTCAGAGTGGGCATTGCTGAGGTTGTTGTTGACCTCATCTTGAGTGATGTCTTCAAAACCTTCACAACCAAGTATCTTTGCCAGTCTCACAGCCTTGTCAGCAGCTTCGTGCTGAATTTATTCAGGTGAGAAGCCCTCAGGCCACAGCGTCTTCCAGCATGCTTTGAGGGTTTCCTTTTTCATCTACTTAAGAGCTTTGGATGACTGAAAGGCATGTTGCAATAGTAAAGTTACACCAGTAGCCCTTTAATGTAAAGTTCTCATCCGTGCCCATTTCATCCGCAAGGTGTTGGAGAGAATTGTGGGTATAAAAAGCCTTAAAGGCACGGATCACGCCTTGGTCCATAGGTTGGATGAGGGAGGTGGTGTTGGAATGGAGGTATTCAATCTGGACTCCCTCGTAATACAGATCCAAATGGTGGCCACCAGCATTATCCATAATGAATAACACTTTGAAGTCTATGCCTAAGTCATGGAGGTATTCCTTGGCTTGAGGGATGAAGCACTGGTGAAACCAGTTTGAAGCTAGGAGTTTGGTAATCCAGGCGTTAGGGTTGTGCATCCAGTAGACAGGCAGCAGGTTTTTATTTTTGTTTTTGAGGGCACTAGGGTTTGCTGACTTGTAGATGAGGCCTGGTTTCATCATGTAACCAGCAGCATTGCCACACATAATGAACGTCACTCTGTCCTTTTGTGACTTAAACCGTGGAGCTTTATCTTCGTCCTGCATTATGTGAGTTCTGGACGACATCTTCTTCCAGAACAAGCCAGTCTCATCCATGTTGAAAAGTTGTTCAGGCTTGTATCCCTTCTCCTCTATGATGTGCCTGAAGGCCTTGGGGTACTTCTGCGCATCCTCTTTGTTGGCAGATGCTGCTTCACCATGTAGAGAAATACTTTTAATATTGAATCGTCTCTGAATACGATCAAACCATCCCTTACTGGCTTGAAAATCTTCTGGTGCTGTTGATGGCCCTGGTTTGCGGTTCTTTTGCATTGTCTCCTGTAGCGAACCACTGGTACATTTTCCTCCTTTCTCGTGGATGATGTTACCATCCAAAGGGATGTTTTTCTTCCTGCAGTCAGGGATCCACATATCCACAATGCCAAGGCAGATTCCATCCTGACAATTTTCTTATTTCTTACAGTTGTTACCTTTTTGTCACTATCACAGAAACATACTGCTACAGTGCTCCGTAGTTCGGCTGTGCCCTCGTTTATTCTTTTATGTAGCGTAGTGCTTTTCCGTTATGATCCATAATGGCACGCTATTGATTATTTTTTTTTGTTTCATACGAATTCTTATGATTATTTTCAGATTTTTGGTCTGCAGATGAAATGCACATCATTGTCTGGTACCATTTTTTTGCAACAGGAAAATATGTATTTTTTTTATATGTAGGCTGTAATTTTTAGGAAAAACGCTTTTATGATAAAATTTGAAACACAAAATCATAAATTATAATTTAATAAATAATCATAAAAAATAATATAAAAATAATAAAATATTTAATTCAATAATATAATCAAAACCAAAAACACTGCGTTTTTCTTTATGTAGCGTATGGTGCTTTCGTTGATGCCATAATGGCACGCTATTGCGGCATAACTTTTTTGTTCATGAAGCAAATCCAGTAGTTCGGCCTTCTCCTGAAGTGTTTTAAACATCTTCTGGCGCCTAGGTTCATTGGCAGAAGCCTTAGAAGGTGCAGACCATTTGGGTGGCAATCTGTGGTCTCTTGTTTTCACTCAGAAAAACACTCACGATAACTACCACATGGAAAAACCCGCGAATGACTGAGGCCGCAAATACTGAACCGCAAATTCGCGTTGTTATACTATGAATTGATAATGCTGAAACAGTGCAACTGTGCTAAAGTCACAATGACTGCTTAATTTACTTTTATCTTAGTTTAACATCCAACACCACCTTTGACAAAATATTAAAAATTCATTGGCCTAGCTTGTGTGAAAATGAATAAAGCACTCTCTGGTACAGTCGTATGCAGATCTATCACTCTCCAAACCAATGCCAGCTCTCTCCAAAGTTAAATGACTCACAGCAACATCCAAGTCACTTTCTTTGAGTTTTGGCCTACTACTACTCCTGGGCAGTACAGCACACTTATGTCATAACATGAGCATTGCCCTGTCAAGCAGTGAAGTCCACCACTACTAGAGTAAAAGAGGAAAGGCCTGAGACTCATATGAGAAGATATGTATAATATGTTATAAAAATGTGAGGGTTATTCAGAAAGGGAAGGACATGGAATGAAATAGGGCTTTATTAAAAGATGTTGCAGACAAATCTAGCAGGTGGCTTACAGTGCTTTTGGGGTAAGATTGCATCTGTTTGACGGACAATTGTGCTGTGCAACCTCACATTATTTCTCCAGTGTGTGTTGATGAGATTGCAGTGGATGAGTTAGAAAGTAAAAAATACTTTTCTTTGCTCTCTCAATCAACGTTGACTTATTAATCATTTTGCTGCTAGCATTGGTAAATAGATAGAACATGATATCATATTTACTTGTTTTAAATCTTTTTTACATTTCTTCTATTACTTACTGATTTTCAGCAGGCCTAGGCAAATAGGCCCAGGCACAATTACCGACCACTTAATAGTAGGTACACCTGTTCAATTGCTTAGTAACACAAATTGCTATTCATGTAATCACATGACAGCAATTTAGTGAATTTAGGCATGTAGATGTGAAGATGACTTGCTGAATTTCAAACCGAGCATCGAATGGGGAAGAAAGGGGATTTAAGTGACTTTGAAAGTGGCATGGCTGTAGGTGCCAGACGGGCTGGTCTGAGTATTTTAAAAACTGCTGATGTACTGTGATATTTACGCACAACCATCTCTAATGTTTACAGGGAATGGTCTGAAAAAGATAAAATATCCAGTGAGCAGTGGCAGTTGTGTGGACGAATATGCCTTGATG